ATTTCATTGTTCAGTTGTTTCAGCTGTGTGGTATTTCTCACTTCTTACTTTGTTGATTCATTTTCGATTACTTTATATATGATATGTTTTTCCTTCTTTGAAGATTGTTAGGCTTAGAGGAGCTACAATGTAAAGAACTCCTCCACCATCTTGCCATTCACGTGATCTCCATATTTTTGTCTTTTCCCAATTCCACTGTGACTCTCCAAGTATATGTCAAAAGAATGATGGCGTATGTGCTCTCTACCAATGATCCCACAATGTAACACCACATATATAGTATAGATGGGGTCTAGATGCGGCAAAGGGCATAAATACCCCCCACTAGTTCTCTTGGTTTGGCTTGCTCACTCCAATCTATTCTTACACTAATCAGTCTAAGTTTCAAGAGATAGACCACTACAACAGTTTAAAAGTCTCTCAGGGTCATAAGAGTTAGATTTCAAACTTGCTCAGGGTCCTGACAGTAAATCTGCTGAAGGGAAAGGTACTCCTCTTACTAACCAAAATAGTTCCTGAGCCCCCATTCAACGTGTTTTCAAACTATACAATCACCATTCACTATAAAGATACATTTAGAACTTCAACACATTTACTTAATAAAAGAAATAATATTAGAAATATATTAATATATTGAAAAAATAAATAGTAAACTGCATCATAATACATATATAAACCCAAGTCTTACTTCCCAACCAATGAACTAAATAGATATGGAGAAGAGTGAGGACACAAGCTTAGCAGGGAAATACATGAGGGAGGAAAACTCACACATGTGCTTGGAAGAACTCACAACTCTAGATTGTGGGCATCAAAGCTATTGATTCATTCAGGAACATCTGCACCACATTAAACTCCTTTTGTGTTCATTGTTTAGCTGTTGATCCTCATTTCTATTCAGCTACGGAAATTCTTCTCTTCTTTACTCCAATATAGCCTTTTTTAAGCTCTTTCAATTAAGTGTTAGCTCTTAATGTGAATAACAGTTCTCTTTAAGCCAGATAACTAAAGGGCAAGCACATCAAACTAGCAATATCTGGGCTTGTGTAGACCAATCTAAAGTCAACTGGTACTGTATTACCTAATCAAAAGAGTTCACAAAAACACAATCAAAGTGCATTCTTAAAGCCAACTCCCCAGGATACTGCAGCACTTGTAATACCCCCTCAGCTTTTCCTTCTCAAGTCAGAGGTGGCAACAGAAGCTCATATGAAAAAATGTCATCTTTTGACATCTCCAGGTAGAAGGGAAAAGCAGGTAGCCGTTAGTGGAACTCTTGGCCAACGAAATCAGTTCTCTCTCCCACCAATCTGGAATTTTTCAACTGGAGACTCTCAGCTGACTGCTCCTAAATACCACTCCATAAAAAAAAAATTACTCCATAAAAATCAACTTTTTAAGCATCCTCTGCTGTTTCTTCAACTCTGCCTTCAAGTCCCTGATGTTTTCCCTGCCATTCTATCATTCCTGTACTGAATGGCTAAAACAAGAGCCTCCTGATTCTCAGTGACTCATCTTTTACTTTAAAAAAATCACAACTCCCCCAAGTTCTACTATAAACTTGATAGTCATTTTTTAAACATGACTCAGTTGCCAAATGTTTATATGGTTTCTCCCTTTCTTAGTTTTCCCTCTAGTCATAATGTGTGTGTGTGGTGTGTGTGTGTGTGTGTGTGTGTGTGTGTAAATTAGCTGACCCTCATGCTTTGTAGCTCCCTGATATTATCAACATGGTAATGTTATTTCTACTTTCCTTGAAACTTCATTTCTTCACACTTGGATTTCTCTAGTTTTTAAAAAATAGACATTTCTCTGCCTCTTTGTTACATCAGACTATTCCTACACAACTGAGGCATGACTCCACCTTGTTCACAAATCTATACATAGTCCTCAAATCTATACCACAGATCATTTTCTCTCTAAAATAATCTCATATGAAATCTGTATTTCCTCATACATATATCTTAGCACTGTATCTTAATATAACGTTCTTTTTCTACTCTTGTTAATTATCAAATTAAGCATAGTAGTGGATATAACAGAACAAAAATCCAACAGCGATCTCCACTCTCCTCCCATCAAGGCAGTCCTTGTTTTTTGTTTGTTTGTTTGTTTTACTTTGTTTTGTTTTGGCAGGAAGGAAAGAAAAGGCTCAATTTGTGGCTTCCTTAATGCAACTTCCTGTTAGCTTCTACTCATATTGCTATGGTTTCCTTGTCACTTAAGGTTATAAAAAGGACTACCCACAGGTGTTTAAGGCCCTCCAAACTTGATGTTCTGAGACTGAGCTAGTCATCACATGTTGTCCAGAACTGGAGGGAGGGGGAACCGTTACCAAAGCAACACACTGGTGTATTTTTGTTAAATATCCTCTGTTATGGCTATATAAATCTCCTTTTGTTAACTGCTAAATGACCTACGAATGCATCATTTCATCTCAACATTGGACCTGAATTAATAGGCTACCACACAATATCAACCTGACTCAGGCCCACCCTAATAGTGGCAGTAGTACCTCCACATTATTAACAATTAAAATGAAGCTCTTCCTTTACACAAAAACACTCTAGACTTTTTCATAGTTAAATACTCTTTATGAAAAGGGCCTTGAACAATTAGTGTGCTTTGCCTTGTCTGACTCCCAAAATGACTATTGTCCATAAATACCATTACTCACCCTTCTTCCTTAATTCAGATCTGTTTCTTCCTAACACTCTATAGACACCTGCTAAGTCTTTTAATGACAGGCTGTCTACTGTGTTCAGCCTGTTTTCTTCTAAGAATGGAAACTTCACTTGATAACATCCTTGGAAATGGGCTGCCCCTTCCTTCAGACCCCTACCAAGAAATGAGGGATTAAGATGTAAAGTCCACTCAGAAGACTATTCCAATCATCCATGCATGAAATTATAAAGGCCTAGATTAAGAAAATAGTCTAGGCCTACACACACACACACACACACACAAAGTCACCTTGTGTTTATTTTGAATATGTGTTTGTGTTGCATCTCTTGTAGAATGTAATCTCCTTTAGGGCAGGAGTTTTTGCTTTTATATCTTTCCCAGTTTTCCCAGGATTTGGAACAGTCCAGACAAATAATAGTCATAATAAAAGTTGATTGATTAATTGGTGAAAATGAGAATTAAAATGAAAGGATAGATTTGAAATATTTTATGAAGTGATAGTAGAAAATGACTGGGTGAGTGACAGCGGACAAAAAAAAAAGAAACCAGGGATGACAGCAAGGTTTCGAGCCTCAGTGAACAGAAGCATGGTGGCAAAGGGAGAACTGGCTTGAAGCAGGAAAAATAGCTTAGCTTTAATATATGCTAAATTTTTCTGTCATGGAAATGGTTATTAAACTGGAAAGGGAAGAACAAATATGATTTTGTATATTCAATCTCTCCAACAATGCATTACTTTACTACATAGCAATCTCACCTAGCTCCCTTGCTCTCCTACCTAACAACACAATTCACTCTGTAGGTCAGTTCAGAAACACCAAAACTAAACTAGTTTTGCCTTTATAGATTTGCTACAGGTGTGAGAGGAAGAATGATTATTGGAGATAGTGAAGATTCAGAGTCAGAGAAATTAGGATAGAATCCCAGTTCTGAACTTGAGCAGGTCAGCCTCTCCAGCCATCTCTTCATTATCTGTAAAATGAGGAGGTTAAACTAGATAGTATATAAGATCCTTTCAGTCTCTAAACCTATTATTTAATCATTCTATGAACAACTGTACCTTCCTGCTCAGAAGATTAAATTGCCTTGTCTCAATAATTAAAAAGGGATGGAAGCCAAAGATAGGTGGCCCAGGATTAAGATTAAATAAAAGCTCACTGAGACAAACTTTAAGCATTAAGGATTTCTCATTGATAAATCAACTCAAAGAAATATTCTCAGTTCCATAAGCATCTATTCAGTATCTACCATTTGTCAGTCACTATGTGTGGTATTGGGGAAAGAAAACTAAATGCAAGAGTGGAGAGAAGTGATAACTTGTGAACAGGTAAGTAATATAAAATAATCACAGAACAACTTCAATGTAATTTTGGAAAGAGGTAGAGAAGAGAATTAACAACTAGATAGATAGAAAAGATGTGTAGGAGGTGGCACTTATGATAAAGAGTAACAGTATGATAAAGGGTAACAGTACAAATTCTGGTTTGTTTTTGTAGGAAATCTTGACCAGGCCCTGCTAGACCTCTGACTAATACCCATCTACTGTAATCTCAATGCTCCTTAACCTTAGTTACCTTCCCTCTGTTGATTTTTAATTTATCCTATACACAGACATAGACACAGACAGATACAGAAACACACACACACACACACACATATGGGCGCATATCTTCTTTGTACATAGCTATTGTATGTTATCTCCTTCTCATAGACTCCTAGACCCGTTTTGACAATTGCCAAAGAAACCATAAGCTAATGCAGCATCCAGCTTTGGGGGATAAAAGCAATCTCTAGGAAAAGGGTCATTGCTCTTGTGACCTGGAGAGACTCTCAACTCATTTAGGCTGCTGACCTGAAATGAGCTTCATTGTGGGAGATGAAGTAAGTCAATGGGAGTCTGCTAGTTGCAACTAGTTTTACATCAAATATTCTTGATGTTGACATCTTTCGATAATTCTCAATAAATGTAAAATTAGAGCTATTATCTGAGAATGTTCATTCTAAGCTAAATCTGGAAAGACAGGTTGGAGCCAGATTTTAAAGCTTCTTAAGTAATCAGTCATACAGTCAATAAGTGTTTATTAAGCATCTTGTGTTTGACACTGCTAGGTGCTGAGAATACAGAGACCAAAATGACAGTTCTTGCTTTCTAGGAGTTTATATTTCATTGGAGGAGACAGTATGGTCATACACAGTCAGACCTGCACTTCAGAAATATCAGTTTGGCAGCTGTGTGGAAGAGCAATCAGAAAGGGGAGAGACAGAAAAATAATTAATCTTCTGTAATTATAGGCACTGCTCCAGTCAGGTTGGATAAGTATTAGTGAGTAAAAAAGGGGGAAATAAATATTTAAACTTGAAGTGGAAAAGCGAATGAAAAATAAAATTTGAGCCATCGTGTTTACTTTATTAGCAAGAAATATAGTTGTAAAATATATAGCAACTATGAGAATATTTTCCTTTCTGTGAGTTTCTTCAATGCGGTCTTCACATCCTTATTTCTCAGGCTGTAGATCAAGGGGTTGAGCATGGGAATCACTGTGGTATAAAACACAGAGGACACTTTTTCCCGGGCCAGGTTGATACTGGTAGCAGGTTTGAAATAAATGGACATGAGGGACCCATAAAACATAGTGACTGCCATGAGATGGGAACTACATGTACTAAAGGCTTTTGACCTGCCCTCTTTGGAGTTGATGCGGAAGATGCTAGAGAGGATGAAAGCATAAGAAATTATGATTGTCGAGCTGGTTGCTATCATGTTGAATCCACCAATAATAAAAATCAAGAGCTCGTCTAGGTAAGTGCTGGAGCAGGAGAGTTTGATGAGGGGGACAATGTCACAGAAGTAATGACTGATTACATTTGACCCATAGAATGGCAACCTCAGTAAACAACCTGTGTGGATCACTGCATCAGTGAATCCCACAGAGAACACAGAAATCACCAGCAAGGAGCAGACTCGAGGGGACATGAGGATGTTGTACAGTAGGGGGTTACAGATGGCAACGTATCGATCATAAGCCATGGCAGCCAGCATGTAGCACTCAGAAATAACAAAAATGCAGAAGAAAAAGAGTTGAGTCATGCACCTAGGATAGGAGATAGTTTTATCTTTGAATAAAAATCCCACTAGCATTTGGGGGGTAATGATAGTGGAATAACAAACATCTAAAACAGACAAACTGCTGAGGAAATAGTACATGGGGGAATGGAGATGAGAACTAAATCTAATCAGTGTGATCATGCCTAGGTTCCCCATCACAGTAACTGTATAGATGCCCAAGAATATGAAGAAGAGAGGCAGCTGAAGTTCTGGCTCATCTGTTAGTCCTGCAAGAATGAACATAGTCACTTCAGACTGATTTCCTCTTCTCATTTTCTATGAAGGAACCTGTGGGAACAAGAGGAAAGAATCACATTAGAAAGGTATACAGCTCTTCCCCTTCTTCTTCATTCCCTTTCCTCAAAGGAACATAAAAATGATTGGAAAACTCTGAATCCTGACCTCTCCTGATTCTGCCCCATGTCTAATGATTTCATTTCCTCTAGGCAGAATTGGCCTTAGAAACCAAGAAGAGACAAAATTTGCTGGGAAAATGAGAAAGCGGGGACTTCCGCTTCCAGGAGCCAAGATGGCAGAGTGAAAAGGTAGTCGCTCTCACTCTCCCCTATCAACCTTTGAAGACCCAGAAAATATCACCCCAGGAAAAAAAAAACCCTGGAACACCTGAACTAGAAGAAAGACAAGGAGCAGCAATGCAGTAGCCCAGCAAATGGGTCTCCCAGTGCCTCAGCAAAGACAAGGGGCCCCAGGCAGATAAGTACCCTGTGACATTCTTATGAAAGGAGGCAAAGAAAACAACCTAAAGGCTTCCTAAAGCCCCGGCCTTGCTGATTCCAACCCAACACCAGGTGAGCTGTAGGAGCCCTGAAGCCCCCAATTGTGAAGAGATTCTGAAGCCCAGGTGGTAGAGCAGGCAAACACCAACACCTGGAACTCCGAGTGCCTCAGTGAGGGCGGGGGAATTGGTGGAAACCAGCTCAGAAAAGCACCAGGAGTCTCGGCAATCCACCGCAAAGGAATCTCCCGGTGCATTAGGAGAAACATGGAGACAACACTGCAGGGGATCCCAGGCAAATAAACGTCCTGCAGCAGCCATCTAAAAGGAGTGGAAGAAAGCTAAAGGAAAGAAAAGCAGGCAACCTAGAATTGCCTGAAAGTTCCAGCCTTGCTGATTCCAGCCCAACACAAGGTAAGCTGCCAGAAACCTACAGCCTCCAATTCCCAGCATAAGAGGCCCCAGAACGCAAAGCCAGTGACCAAGACCTAGGCTCCCAACACAAGAAGCTTGGGTCAGTACCCTCTGTGCCCCAGCACGAGAGCTCAATCTCTTTAAAGGCCAGGGAATAAAGAAACACCATGAGTAAAAAGAAACGTACCATAGATTCATATTATGAGAAGAGTGAAGATCAAGACAGAAATTCTGAAGAGGACAACATTGTCAACAAACCCACATCTGCAACAACAAAAGGGAATATGAACTGGTCTGAAGCCCAAAAAGCCTTCTTAGAAGAGCTCAAGAAGGATTTTAATAGTCAAATGAGAGAGGTAAAAGAGTCCTTCAAAAATACAATTGGCCATTGGAAAAAAAATACACTGAAGAAAACAAGTCCCTAAAAAACACAATTGGCCAATTGAAGAAGGAAGGACAAAAACTAACAGAAGAGTACACTGAAGAAAACAAGTCCCTAAAAAACACAATTGGCCAGTTGAAGAAGGAAGTACAAAACTAACAGAAGAGTATGCTGAAGGAAACAAGTCCCTAAAAAACACAATTGGCCAGTTGAAGAAGGAAGTACAAAAACTAACAGAAGAAAACAATCTGTTAAAAACTAGAATTGGACAAATGGAAACTAATGTCTCTATGAGAGAGCAAGAATCAGTCAAACAGAAACAAAAAAATGAAAAAATAGATGAAAATGTAAAATACCTCATCAGTAAAACAACCGACCTGGAAAATCGACTCAGGAGAGACAATTTAAAAATTATTGGACTACCTGAAAATAATGAAAAAAAAGAGCCTGGACAGTATCTTTCAGGAAATCATAAAGGAAAACTGCCCAGAAGTCCTAGAACCAGAAGGGAAAATAACCATAGAAAGAATCCACCGATCACCACCTGAAAGAGATCCCAAATTGACAATGCCAAGAAATATAATAGCAAAATTCCAAAATTACCAGATGAAAGAGAAGGTGCTGCAAGCAGCCAGAAAGAAAGAATTTAAATATCATGGAACCACAGTCAGGATTACACAGGACCTTGCAGCTTCTACATTAAAAGACCGCAGGGCATGGAACATGATATTCCATAAGGCAAAGGAGCTTGGAATGCAGCCAAGGATCAATTACCCAGCAAACATGAGCATCATTTTTGGATATTCAAGGAGACTTCCAAACTTTCCTGATAAAAAGACCAGAGCTCAACAAAAAATTTGATCTTCAAGTACAGGACTCAAGAAGGACTTAAAAAGGTAAATGGGACAGAAGGATACAATATGTTGTTAATAAGGGGGGGGCTGTTTAAACCCCTACAAGGGAATATGAGACTTGCAACCCTTGAGAACTGTATTGTTATTACACCTTGTTAAAGGAGTATACATAAAGAGGGTGGATATTAGTTGACTTTGATGTAATGATAAAAAAAATCTAATCAAGTGGGTTAAATGGATCCAAATAAGTGGATCAATCTGATCTTAGAAAATGTACTGAGAAAGGAGGAGGCAGACAAGGGTAAATTACATTACAGGAAAAGACACAAAATCCTATTACAGCAGAGGGAAAGAAGGGGGGGAGCATTGTTTGAACCTTACTCTCATCAGATTGGCTCAAGAAGGGCATAATATAATCAGTTAGGTATAGAAATCTAACTTGCCTATAGGCAGTAGGAGGGAAAAGGGGAAAGAAAAGGGAGGGGGAAAGAAAAGGGAGGGAAAGAAGGAGGGAAGCAGCAGTAAAACTAAAGGGGAAGAAAAGGGAAAGGGATAATAAAAGGGGGAGGGACTGAAGGAGGCGGTGGTCAAAAGCAAAACACTAGTGAAGGGGAGAAAGGAAAAAGGAGAAAGAAAAGCATAAATGGGGGGAAAGGATGGAGAAAAAGACACAGATAGTAATCATAACTGTGAATGTGAATGGGATGAACTCTCCCATAAAACGGAAACAGGATTGCAGAATGGATTAAAAACCATAATCCTACAATATGTTGTTTACAGGAAACACATTTGAAAAAGAGTGACACATACAGGGTAAAGGTAAAAGGCTGGAGCAGAATATATTATGCGTCAGCTGAAGTAAAAAAAGCAGGGGTAGCAATCCTGATCTCAGACAAAGCAAAAGCAAAAATAGATCTAATCAAAAGAGATAAGGAAGGAAACTACATCCTGCTAAAAGGCACCATAGACAATGAAGTAATATCATTACTAAACATATATGCACCAAATGGTATAGCATCCAAATTCTTACAGGAGAAGTTCAGGGAGTTACAGGAAGAAATAGACAGCAAAACTATACTAGTGGGGGACCTGAACCTCCCCTCTGGCACTAGATAAGTCTAACCACAAAATAAACAAGAAAGAAGTTAAGGAGGTGAATAGAACATTAGAAAAGTTAGGTATGATAGACCTCTGGAGAAAACTGAATGGGGATAGAAAGGAATATACTTTTTTCTCGCAGTACATGGCACATACACAAAAATTGACCATGTACTAGGGCATAAAAACCTCACAATCCAATGCAGAAAGGCAGAAATATTAAATGCATCCTTTTCAGATCATGATGCAATAAAAATTATATGTAATAAAGGGCCATGGAAAGATAGACTAAAAAATAATTGGAAACTAAATAATCTAATCCTAAAAAATGATTGGGTCAAACAACAAATCATAGAAACAATCAATAATTTCATTCAAGAGAATGACAATAATGAGACAACATACCAAAACCTATGGGATGCAGCGAAAGCAGTTCTTAGGGGAAGTTTTATATCTCTAAATGCTTACATAAATAAAATAGAAAAAGAGGAGATTAATGAATTGGGCATACAACTAAAAAAACTAGAAAAAGAACAAATTAAAAATCCTCAACTAAACACCAAATTAGAAATATTGAAAACCAAAGGAAAAATTAAAAATTGAAATTAAGAAAACTATTGAACTAATAAATAAAACTAAGAGCTGGTTTTATGAAAAAACCAATAAAATAGATAAGCCTTTGGTTAATTTAATTAAAAAAAGAAAGAAGAAAACCAAATTACTAGTATCAAGAATGAAAAGGGTGAAGCTACCACCAAGGAAGAGGAAATTAAAACAATAATTAGGAATTATTTTGCCCAACTATATGCCAACAAATTTGACAATCTTAGTGAAATGGATACATATTTACAAAAATATAAATTGCCCAGATTAACCAAAGAGGAAGTAAAATACTTAAATAACCCCATCTCAGAAAAAGAAATTGAACAAGCCATTGATGAACTCCCTAGGAAAAAATCTCCAGGGCCAGATGGATTTACATGTGAATTCTATCAAACATTTAAAGAACAATTAATTCCAATACTATATAGACTATTTGGGAAAATAGGTGAAGAAGGAGTCTTACCAAATTCTTTTTATGATACAAATATGGTGTTGATACCTAAACCAGGAAGAGTCAAAATAGAGAAAGAAAATTATAGACCAATTTCTCTAATGAATATAGATGCAAAAATTTTAAACAAAATATAGCAAGTAGATTGCAGCAACTTATCACAAGAATAATACACTATGACCAGGTAGGATTTATACCAGGAATGCAGGGTTGGTTCAATATTAGGAAAACTATCAGCATCATTGAGCATATCAACACAAAACCAACAGAAACCACATGATCATCTCAATAGATGCAGAAAAAGCTTTTGATAAAATACAACACCCATTCCTATTAAAAACACTAGAAAGCATAGGTATAAATGGAGTCTTCCTTAAAATAATAAATAGCATATATCTAAAACCTTCAGCAAGCATTATATGTAATGGGGACAGGCTAGAAGCATTTCCAATAAGATCGGGGGTGAAACAAGGATGTCCATTATCACCACTGTTATTCAATATTGTACTGGAAACCTTAGCTTTAGCAATAAGAGAAGAAAAAGAAATTGAAGGCATTAGAATAGGCAAAGAAGAAACAAAGCTATCACTCTTTGCAGATGACATGATGATATACTTAGAGAATCCTAGAGAATCAAGTAAAAAACTACTTGAAATAATAAACAACTTTAGCAAAGTTGCAGGCTATAAAATAAACCCACATAAATCATCAGCATTTCTATATATTACCAACAAAGCCCAACAGCAAGAGATAGAAAGAGAAATCCCATTTAAACTTACTGTAGACATTATAAAATATTTAGGAGTCTACCTCCTGAAACAAACCCAGGAACTCTATGAACACAATTACAAAACACTTTTCACACAAATAAAATCAGATCTAAATAATTGGAAAAACATCAGTTGCTCATGGGTAGGCCGAGCTAATATAATAAAAATGACAATCCTACCTAAGCTAATTTACTTATTCAGTGCCATACCAATCAAACTACCAAAAATTATTTTATAGAGTTAGAAAAAATAATAACAAGATTCATTTGGAAAAATAAAAGGTCCAGAATATCAAAGGAACTAATGAAAAGAAATGCAGGGGAAGGTGGCCTAGCAATTCCAGATCTTAAATTGTATTATAAAGCAGCAATCATCAAAACTGCTTGGTACTGGCTAAGAAATAGGGAGGTGGATCAGTGGAATAGGTTAAATATGCAAGACACAGTAGTCAATGACTATAGTAATCTATTATTTGATAAACCAAAGACCCCAGCTTCTGGGATAAGAACCCACTCTTTGAAAAAAACTGCTGGGAAAACTGGAAAAGAGTATGGCAGAAACTAGGCATAGACCCAAATCTCACACCATATACCAAAATAAAGTCAAAATGGGTTCAAGACTTAGATATAAAGGCTTATACCATAAGTAAACTGGGAGAACAAGGAATAGTTTACCTATCAGATCTATGGAGAACAGAAGAATTCATGACCAAACAGGAGATAGAGAACATTATGAAAAGAAAAATGGATAATTTTGATTATGTTAAATTGAAAAGTTTTTGTACAAACAAAGCCAATGCAACTAAGATTAGAAGGAAGGTAGAAAACTGGGAAAGAATTTTTACAACCAGTCTTTCTGAAAAAAGCCTCATTTCTAAAATATATAGAGAATTAAGACAAATTTATAAGAACACAAGCCATTCCCCAATTGATAAATGGTCAAAAGATATGAAGAAAAAAAAAGAAAATGAGAAAGCAGTCAGCAGAAAGTGGTCAACATCTCCTACGATTATACCAAGATAAGCTCTGAATAGGTGCATGACTTAGCCATAAATGGTGACACATAAACAAATTACAACAGCAATAAAGAAATTACCTTTCAGAACTATGGATAAGGGATTGCATAAGATAAAATGAACAGTTTTGGTTAAACAAAATGTAAACGTTTTTGCACAAATAAAATCAATGCAGCTAAAATTAAAAAGGACACAAGCAACTGAGGGAAAGAATTTTTGCGGTAAGTTTCTCTGATAAAGTTCTCGTAGACAAAATACATAAGGAATCCATTCAAATATATAGGAATAAAAGCCATTTTCTAATTGACATATGATAAAGGGATGTGAATAAGCAGTTTAGGAAGAAATTTCAGTTAGCTATAGCCATATGAAAATTCCCCAATTCATTTTTAATTACAGAAATAAAAATAAAGCAACTCTGAGGTTCTACTTCACACCCATCAGATTGGCAGTTAACAAAAAAGGAAAATGACAAATATTGGAGGGGTTGTAGGAAAACCTTATTGTACTATTGATGGATTGTTAAGTAATCTAACCATTATGGAAAGCAATTTGTTATTCTGCCCAAAAAGTTACTGAACTATGCATATCCTTTTACCCTGTGACATCAAAGAATGAGGAAAGGGTCTAATATGTACAAAATTATTTGTAGCAACTCTTTTGTGCTAGAAACTATGAAGGTGCCTTATCAGCTGGGGAAGGGCTGAACAAATTATGGTGTAGGAATATAATAGGATACGATTACACTATAAGAAATGGTAAAGGGGACACTTTCAGAGAAACCTGGAATATCTTAAATACTGAGGAAAGTGAGCAAAATCAACAATTTATACACTACCACAACAACATTGTAATGACAAATAGATTTAAAAGACTCAAGAATTCTGATCAACACAACAGCCAACCACAATTTTAAATGATCAAAGATGAAGCATGCCACCCACCTCCTGACAGAGAAGTGATAGACTTAATAGCAGAACAAGCCTTTTTTTTTTGACAAAGCTAATGTAGTAAATTTTTTTTGCTTCACTTTACATATTTTTCATATGGGTTTTGTTAATTCTTTTTTTTTCCTCCATGAAATGGAAGGGAAGTGGGAAACAGAGAAAACAGATTTTGCTCATTAAAAAAATCTTTCATTAAAATTTTAAAAAAATAAATGAGGGGACTTCCTATGTAATATGATTTTAGGGGCCCAGAAAGACCCTTTTGTCTCCACCCCATACTTTTCTATCTGTTTTACTAGGCTAGAAATTCTTTTGCCAAAAAACAAGTGAGCTTAAATGTCAATGAAGTTTAGTGGTCAAAGATGTCTCTCAAAGATGGCCCACACCTAGACTTTCTTTTCTGAATCCATCTGTCACACTCAACTCCAGGGTCTCAACACCAAAGTAACCTTCATCAAAGGCAAGTAACTAGCTTAAGAATATATTACCATTCAGGTCTTACAACTCCTTGTAACTTAGTAGGAGCACAAGAAGTGGGGAAAGGGTGGTGCCATGGGATTGCTGTTTTCAAGAAAGAACTACCAAGACCTCCAAGAGTTGTTAGTAGACTAGACAGTAGGGACCCTCGCCCATCATTATAAAGAGCATTGCAGTGATTCAGATGAGGGATAACTTGTCATTGATAAAGGTTATTTTAATAACGAGGTAAAGATAGACCAGAGTACCAGATATCCCCGAATAGGCAATCATCTATAAATAGAGGAGAGAGAGAGAGAAGCCACCTTTGCCACCTCAGAGTTCTGTCTGTTCCGGCTGTGTCTGTCCAGTCACCTTAGTCTTAGTGCTTTCCTACCACAGGTCCTTCTCTACTTGGAAAGCCAAGAGATGCATGTTTTCTCCTTAGTCCCGCTCTGTTTCTATCTTCTAATAGGGGGAGGGAAACAGGATAAATTAATTCAGAAATAATAATAATAATACAATAATAATAACTGATGTTTGTATTGTGCTTTGAAGTTTGCAAAGTGTTTTGCATGGATTATCTCATTTAAGTCTCACAGAGTCCCAGCGATGTACAGGTATTAATAGGCTCATTTTACAGATCGGAGAACTGAGGCTTAGTGCTGCTAAGTGATTGGCCCACAGTCCTACAACTAGTAAGTGTTAGAGAGAGGATTTGAACTCAGGTCTTTCTGAATAGAGCTCTAGCCCTCTTTCCAAGAGCACAATGTTGGAATTTCTCTTTTGTCCTTATTGCATCTTGTATTATACATAATTGTGACTCTCTCCTTATAAAATATGAGCTACCTGAGGGAAGAGACTGAATTTTTTTGGTGGGGGGAGAAGGAAAGAAGGAGGAGATGATGGTTATATTCACAGCACCTAGCACATCACTTTGCTCATAGTATTCAATACATGCCTGTTGATATAAATGGAAAGAACAAAAATCCTTCAATTGAATGCTGTGTATTTATCATGCCCAAGCTCAGTCCAAAAGAAGAAATGAGAAAATGTATCTCACTCTTTTTTTTGCAGAGTTGGGGGGTTATGAATGTGGAACATTGCATATGCTATTAGACATAGCTGATGAATTAATTAGTTTTGCTAAACTGCTTCCCACCGCCTTTCTTATCTATTCTATGTTATAGGCAACTATTATAAGTGAGTAAGTAAAGGTATTGAGTAGAGACCCTGTCTTAGAGTCAGAAAGGGCCTAGAATCAAGTCTGAGACACACTTTCTGTGCAACCTGAAAAAAAGTCACTTCACATTTTAGCGTTTCAGACATCTGAGTTTCCACATAAATAAAACCATTGGTCCAGACCACTACTACCACCACCCCAAAAAATAAACCAGATAAGTGATCCTCAAAATTCCATGGAAAGTCCAAGGCAGAAAACTGTCAGGAATAAACATGTGAGAAACCGAGAAAATGTGTAAAACATTTTATAACTATGAAGTACTATGCAAACCTATGATGATGATGATGATAATGATGATGTGTAAGGATAATGCAGAGCTGATTGTACGTAATCTAAGAACTGAGCAATTTGAGCATCATAACTAGAAAACTCACCTTCCCCTACCCCGGGGTGGTAATAGAAAGTTCTCCTCTTCTGCCTGTTGTTCTAGTCACTCAGCAATCTCACATTGCTCTCTAAAGCAAAGCCAAAGGTAAGCAAAAACCACGTTTGTTCTTGGAATCCCATCTCCTCCAAAATGTCTAAACAGCTCTTTATCCACAGTAGCATCTTCCTGCGACACACAGTGAGCTCATGAGTTTCATGTTCTGTTTGGGTATTTTAAGTCTATAAATACTGAATTGGTTGGTCCCTAAGGTGTTCTTCATCTCCTGAGAACCATCTGTGTTTTTGTAAAACAATGATTTCCCAAACATTTTTTTCCAATGAGACAACCTTCTTTGAAAATGAGCAAGGCCAGAGATGTCACACTGCCATCTAGCCCAGGATCAGAAATTGTTTTTGTATTCAGCATCAATGATTCAGACTAGAGGAGAAAAAGAAATTCCTATTGATTGAAGTTTATAGAATCTCAACTTGGAAATTTCTAGTTAATTTTAAAGGCAGGAGAGTCTTCCCCATACAATCCCACTACCCTGCTTTCCTTCCCCTCCCCATAGTGATATAATATAAAAACACTGGGCTTAGGTCAGAAAATCTAGGTCAAATGATTATGGACTTAGTTCCACAAGTGACCTCAGAAAACATGACATCTAACTCCCTTATCTTACAGATGAGGAAACTGAGGCTTAGAGAAATTATTACTTGACTAAGGTTACTCAGAAAATAAGTGGCAAACTGGAATTTGAACCCATGTCATGTAACTCCAAATCCAGGGCTCTTTCTACTACTCCATGGTTTGTTTCCCAGCTCTGGAGCTCAGTTTCTTTATCAGCAAATGAAGGGGTTGTTGGAGATTATGTGTGAATGATTAGATAACTTCTCAAAGACAGTGTGGTGCAGTGAAAAGAGCACTGGCTCTATTGTCAGACCTGGGTTCAAATTCTGCTTTGTTTGCTACCTTGGGTGAGCTGGGTCAAGGTTACCTTTCATGGGCCATCTGCAAAATAGACTGGATAGCATCTGAAGTCCCTTTTGGCTCTTTTTTGAGGATCAATGATCCTATGACTCAAAAGGAGTCCATTTGTTGCCAATTCCAGAGAACCGCTAGTCTACAATCCATCAAAGATGACCCTGACTCCTGTATCTCCCTCCTCAGGAGCTAGAGGGACCTTTCCAGTTAATCCTCTAAGCTTCCTGGGCTACAAGACTGCAGTGCCCTTCTTTTTGCTGGCTCAGGGTTTTTCCTGGGTTGATATTTTCTGGGCTTTCAGTGGTCAATAAAAGAGAATGAGAGTGACTTCTTACTCTGCCATCTTGGCTCCCAGAAGCAGAACTTTGGGACCATCTTTTTTGGTGACTGTTCTGTAGACAACACGGACCAGACACAACCCATGATGCTACTCTTTTGTATGAAATAAATTCTGGAAAGTGGCTTGTGTCTAGATTTTTGCTACCATTACTATTCCCTCTAACTCTACACTTCTATAGGAAGTTTATCAGATGGCACAAAATTCAAAGAGGCCCATCACCAAAACGCTGGCCACCAGATAAAAAGTGTGGTCATGACCAATTCACAAAACCATCTATAAGGTGTCATAATCAATGTCGATGCAGGAAGCACCTATGCACATTGATGAAACCACAGGGCTTTTGAACTTTAAAGTAAGGTCTGGACATTGTGCAGCTGTGAATGCAGCCTACTAACTTTCTTAGCTCTCACTTATTATTCTCTAAGGATCATCAGATTTTTCTTTCCATTAACTTTTCAGCTAAACTCTCCCATACATGTTGTCTCCTTCAATTAGAAAGTGAGCTCCTAGGCAGCTGGGTGGCATGGTGGATAGAGCACCGGCCCTGGATTCAGGAGGACCTGAGTTCAAATCCGGCCTCAGACACATAACACTTACTAGCTGTTGTGACCCTGGAAAAGTCACTTAACCCCACTGCCTAGCCAAAAAAAAAAAAAACGGTGAGCTCCTTGAAAGCACGGACTGTCTCACATCTTTCTTGGTATCTTGACTGCTTAGCAAAGTGATTGCCATTTAATAAATGCCTACTGAATGCTTTTTTCATTCTTTATCTTTATATTCATTGTAGGTTATGTGTAGTGAATTGCTTACCCCAGAACAATTTCTGCTATCATATCCAATGCTTGGGACCCATGGAACACCCACTACCCAGCTTGTAGAGATTAATTCTGGAAATACAAACTGTGTATAATATTTTGAGCAAAACATAACTAAGAAGGCTAAAAGATTACTTTGGCATTCCCAAGCCTAATTCTCCATGTTGCTATTCCTCACCATTAACATGAGCAATTGAATTGACTGTAGTTAAAATAATTTATAGATATTCATAGCAGGAATTGCTCCTACAGGATACATAAGAATATAAATGATTTACTGTTAGTCCTATGTGAACTAGGGTGGAATGTGTGCAATGTATGCAAACTGAAGGCCCCAAGAAGTTCCTGAACCACATTACCAAATGGGCAGAAGTACCATCCAGTTTCCACCAGTGACATGTTGTGAATATCTGCAAAAAATAGGCAGAAAAATTAAGGCAAAGAGCAACCTGGAGAAACTCTGAGGAAGCACATCTTCTCAATGGCTTCAGGGATCAGTTTTCCCCTGGAATCTGGGAATCATAAAACTCTGCTGTTTTCTTGGAGATAGCACAAAAGTTTGTTGTGTTTAGATGCCAAAACTTTCAGGTGGCTAATTGGCTGAGGCATTCCTTAAGGTACGGTGAACTGCACTAGTTCAGCGCTTTGGTGAAGTTCAGTGCTTCTGATGCCTGGCAGAGATTCAGGGAGAAAAGAAAGAACTGGCCAGTTGACACTAAAGGAAAAAAATGATAGATAGATAGATAAATAGATAGATAGATAGATAGATAGATAGATATGGATACAGATAGATACAGATTTTCTTGTTGTTCCATCATTTTTTAGTCATGTCCAACTCTTTGTGACCCCATTTGGGGTTTTCTTGGCAAGAGATACATGCAAGCGTGCATGCACATACACTTGTGTATGTATGTATTATATTCATAGATATAAATATATAAACACACATATGTGTGTATGTATGTATTATATTCAAATAGCTATACAGGCTACAATTTTCAAAATCTGACATTGGGCTCTTACATGTGAACAGCAACTCCAAACCAGTAGCCATAAGTACTCTCACTGCTGAAACCCCTTATTCCTATTCCTGCTACCTAGAACCACCAAGGCGTCTGCTTCTGGGTTTCCACACAAATAATATGGAGAGAAGATGGGGGGGGTGAGGAGAGCCTTAAGTTTGCTCCTTTTTTCTCATGCTGCCAGGGTGCTTTCTCAATAGCCTAAGTGCTACTCTATTCCACCACTATACCTAGCCTCCTAACCCATATTCTCATTCCCTTCCCCTAACAAAGGCAGTGAGTCACTAAGCATTTATTAAGCACATACTTTGTACCAGGCATACCCTGCTCTTTTCTCCAGAACCCTGACCCTGTCCCTCTTCAGTTCTCTTGACAAAATGAATGCCCAGGAAAGTCATCTCTTTTTCTTCTGAGAAGCATATGCATTTTATTTCAATCCTTTAAATCCATCAGCAAGCATTTATTAAGCACCTACTATGCATAAAACATTGACGTTATATAGATAAAAAAGGAGCAGACCTTGGCCTCAAGGAGCTTACACAGAATCACAGACACTCAGAGTTGACAGAGCCTTTGAAAGCCATCTAGTCCTATCCATATGTAAGAATTCAAAGTTTTTTTAAAAGTGTGCATTTAGCCTGTACTTGAAGATATCACTACCTCCCCTGAGCTGCCATATTCCACTTCAAATATCTAATTGTTGGTGAGGGGAGGGGGGTCCTATCCTTAACATCAAAGTAATATAAGCCTCTACAGTTTGTATCCATTGCCCTTACTCTATTTCTGCCTGCTAGGGTCAAACAGAACAAGTCCAAAGTAACAAGAGCTTTTCAAACACTTGAAAACAACTTAATTATGCCTTAACCAATGCCAGCCAAGTCATCTCTTCTTTAAGATAAATATCTTTGGTTCTTTCAACCAGTACTCATCTGGTATGATTTCAAGACCCTCCATCATCCTGGTCATCCTCTGCTAATTAATGTGCCTTCTAATATGTGGCACCCATAACTGAAGACCCCTAAGACTACACTGAATGCCTAAAGAGCCCATTAGCTTAGAGGCAAAGAATCAGAGTGGTGAGTCAGGAAATCTGAGTTCAAGTCCTTACTCCACTACGTAATAGGTATTTTAGTAATTAACTCCCCTTCTCTGAGCTTTGATTTCCTCCTCTGTAAAATGAAGGAACCTGAAGATTCAATGATCCCCAAAATCCTTTCCAGTTCTAAATCCTGTCGTCTCCCCCAATCTTGTCTAAGTAATAAGAAAAAGATGGGAATGGGACAGAGAAGGTCACGTTTTAATGCCTAAGAATTAAGAGAGAAGCAGAAGGTCCAATTCTTAGAGCTCAAAGAAAAGAAGAAAGAAGCTAGCCCTATATGTTCAGTCTTCATCCTTGAATAGTCACTTAGCTGAAGGCCCTGTCCTTAACAGTTCTTTACCCATCCTTCCTGGGCTCCCTGGGTATCACAAACGATCCTGTCCTAATGGGACTCTCCACCCTCTCTACAAAGCCATCAGCAATGGCTTAGAGCTGGGGGAGTCCTCCCTAGACTTCCGTTTACTGGCTAATAGTCGTGTCTGGGGCAAGGAAAAGGGGGAGAGAACTTTGGATTCCCAAATTGTCATTGCACAAATACATGCAGTTATACATGGAGCTTAGGTTCTAAAAACACCACTCATTTGTACTAAGCTTTGGGTGTAAAACAAGTTTATTGACTTTTACGTGACCTGACCTAGCCGTGTAACTGCCACATATAACATTGCTTCTAGGGAATACACATCAGCACTAACCTTTGCCGCATAATCCCTTGTTACATTGGGGACTATCTGTGCACATAAGCAGACAGTGATGAGCTTTCCTTGCACCCAGCTAATCCCAACTAACTGTACCCAAATACCCATCACTGCCAAGGCAAAGTGACTGGACTGCCCTACACCCTCACGCATATTTCCTCAGGGTGTGTTTTTGCAAAGTCCATCTACTTTAAAGGCTGGTCTTGCCATTCAATTTAACCTGATCTCACCTAGATAAAAACTAGGATGGGGATACAATACTTCACTCAAGACCCTATCCACCTGTAGGGATTCTCCCTGTTAAGTGGAACCCTGAGCTAGATAATAATGGTACACTGAGAGCACACTCCCTGGACCCCAATTAAAAAAGGTTTTAGTGCATATTAATGGGAGAGAATAAGCCAACGTGTAGAGAAGGCTCAGCTTTGCCCCCTCAAAGACTCAGGATTGTCTGTATCAACTGGAAGAACTGAGTGTCCAAGAGTTTGCAGAAATAGGCAAACTGACTTGGAAATATTTTATGAAAGCCCCAATCCTGGGTAACAGAGGCCCCAACTTTTATTTTAGCATATTAAGCTTTAGAGTCATAGCTTAAGTCACAAGAGGACCTGGTCAGACTCCTGAGGGGAAAAATCCTGAATTAGGAAAGTGATTATCCCATGATCCTCTCTGTCTCATGTTGAGGAGAAAAACCTTTAATTGTACCCATTGGGACAATTCAGTAATTTTCACAAGCATACTGTGAGCATTAATGTTGTAATATCAATGTTTCTATTTCCAAGGTTATCTTCAGCTTGGGGGAATTGTAACAGGTATAAATTTTCTCAAATGGGTTCCATATCTGCACAGGGAAAATCATCTCTAATGATGTTTCTTCCAGTTGGTTGCTGTGTTTCATTTTGTTTTGTTTTTAAGTGTGGAGTAAGAGCGGCCTCCAAGGTTTCCTTCCTCCTACAGGTGGAAAGAGCCAGTGTCCTGGCTGGAGTCTGAGATTCTGGCTGTCCTCACTGGTAATATATTGCAATGGCCCATTATATCTATGGGGCCCCAGCCATACTTCATCTTCCACTTTGGCCATCTCCTTGTCATAACCACTGCCAATATTATGTTTGAAAATTAAGGTAAACTAAAAGACAATGGTCTGAGAATGATCAATTTATTATTTAGGCTAGCAGTGACCAAAAAATTGGGTCAATGGCCTGTCTTAATGACCAAAGACCCCAAGGTAGGGTTCACTAGACAACATAGTTTTGGAGAGTACAGAATTAGGTGGGGGTGGGGAGACAGCTAGGTGGTGCAGTGGATAGAGCACTGGCCCTGGATTCAGGAGGACCTGAGTTCAAATCTGGCCTCGGACACATAACACTTACTGACTATGTGACCATAGGCAAGTCACTTAACCCCATTGCCTAGCCAAAAAAAGAAAAAAAAAAGAAATAGGTAGGTGGGGAAGACCATGCAATTGGTTACAGGATAGATAGCATCACAGGGATGAAGACAACGATTATTTTTAGGCAATTGGAGTTAAGTGACTTGGCCATGGTCATACATCTAGTAAGTGTGTGAGGCTGGATTTGAACTCAAATTCTCCTGACTCCAGGGCCAGTGCTCCATTCACTATATCACCTAACTGCCCTTCATGATTGTTTGTTTTAAAGAAAATGGGCTAACAACCACGTGGGACTAGTAACCACCCCTCTCTGACAATTAAGGAATATTAATTGTTTTATGGGACCTATCCACATCTTGCAGACCTTATTAATGGACCTGAGTTAGCAGATTCCCTGAGGCCTAGAAGGGTTTTTAGGGAGATAATCCTCCTTAATTGTACAAAAACAGACAAGGACAGCCTTGGAAATGTACCAGATCAGTTTGTAGGCCTTTAAAGACAAGGTATGGTAGTTAACAGTTTTTCTTTTAATTATACCTTTAAATTAAGGTAAAGCTAAATTCTTAAACTCAACTCTAGGATATAGCAAGGTACCTTTTAGAGATGCAGATTCAGTTATAAAATTAATGTAGCATAAAATCAATTACATTATAGAATATTAATTTTGATCTTTTCACCAATAAAATAAAATATAAACTCCTTTTTTGTTATTCAGGGTGTTCTATGATATTGTTCCAACCTGAAGACAATGATCACGTACCTTTGAGTTTTTTCTTCTTCTAGCTCTAGCTAGACCTGATCATCCGCTCTAACTCATGAGTCATTGGTCAACTACAACGAAAAAGTTTTCTAAGGTGGGTATGGTAACCAAGGCTCTTTTTTTTTTTTTAAGAAGTAGGTTCACTAAATGAGGGAGAAATAGCATAGTATGAAGCTGGATAGACATCTGAGGTGGGATGGTTCAAAAAAGAGGAAGGAATGACAGCTTAAAGTTTCCCTTTACACGCATGAGCCTGCCCTTGTCTACTGTGTGGATGAACAGGAAGTGAGAATTTAACAACATTCTACACAGCCCATCTGGAAAGGTAGTAGTGAATGGAAGCAGGATTTTCTCATATATCAACAGAGCAATGGCCAAGAAAAGCAACCAGAAGAGGAATCAGTTCCCCAGAGCCCATGTTCCTCAATGGACTGGACATTGGTCAGGAAAGTCATAAGTAGAAAAGCAAATGGAGGGGCAGCTAGGTGGCACAATGGACAGAGCACCGGCCCTGAAGTCAGGAAGACCTGAGTTAGAATCTGGCCTCAGACCAAATATTTGACACTTACTAGCTGTATAACCCTGGGTAAGACACTTAACCCCAACTGCCAAAAAAAAAGAAAAAAAGCAAATGGAGGATAATTGAGAGGGAATGGAAAAGCTATATCCACCTATACTTCGTATTTCATTCCAGTCATCTTCTAACCATCCACTCTACCTGCCACTGTCCTCTGGATCACTGGATCTAGTCATCCACCCTACTGCAGCTTCATGCTAGAGCACTTAACCATCTTAGTTCTGGAACTCCAACCTGGGAAATCCTCCCACATACCTATCCAGTCCCAATCACGCCTCACATTCTATTCCAGCCCTCTTCTTGCTATTCCCTTGCCCCTGATTTTACCCTACCCCAACCCCTTCCAACTTTGGAAGCATAATCAAATCAACATTGTCATTGCAATTAGAAATGGCATGTGAATCAACATCCTTTGACTACATTTGCCACACCTATGATTTTCTCTACCAAAATACCCTGCTCTGGCCACTCCCCTATATTATTTGTCTGCCCATTAGAATGTAAGTTCTTCAGGACAGGTGGTGCCTCAAATTCCCATCACTTAGCTGGGATTGTAAGTGTTTAATAAATGTTTTTTCATTAATTGATCAAATCATTCATTCATTCCTTCTAAAAAGAATGAAAGTTTGAGTTCTAGTATCTGAATTATGTCTGTGAACTCCTGGGTTTGAAGTGCAGTGGAAAGAATGAAAGATTTGGAGTCAGAGAATTTGAGTTTGGACCCAAAATTAATTGCTTACTATCTGTGTGATATTAGGCAAGTTGCTTGACCTTTCTAGGTCTGGTACTTGCAAAATAAGTAGACTAGACTAGAAGATTTCTAAGGAGCCTCTCAGTTCTAAGTCTGTGATCTTATGGTAAAGGCTAACTGTATATGGAAGGAGATACGGGCATGCAACCTATATGGTAGTTGTTTCCATCTATTTGTTTTTATTCTATTTGCTTCTAGAGGTATGATTAAAGAAACTACACTTGGTAAGAACACACTTGTCTGGTTGATTCAATTTATTCTGTGCTTAGGTAAGTAGAGTCCTTTGAAACACAGCACAAAGAACCATGGGCTTCAAGATTCCCTGGGGCTGGTGGTTGAACCAAAAGACTCAGTGGATAAATTCACAGAGACCATACCCCTAAACTAAGAAACTGAGCACTCATCTGTTTCATCTTGTCACTTCCTTGCTCAAAGACTACTGTGACTCTCCATTGCCTACAAATAAAATACAAAATAATTTCTTTGCTATTCAAGGTCTTCTATAAAAGTGATGTCAAACTCAAATAGAACTACTAAGGCCACTAAACAATACATATTGGGTCACATATTGACTTAGAAAACCACATATTACTGTTATCTACATTATATTGTATTTTCATTTATTTTGTTAAATATTCCCCAATTACATTTTAATCTAATTCTGCCAACAGGTCTTGTGTTTGATGTCTCTGTCCTACAATGTGGCTCTAACTTACCATCACCCCCAGACACTCACAAAGGGGCATCCGGATACAGCTGAGAACACAAGTCACTAGCTCTCTGAGAACCAAGAGTTTGACCTTTCCCCAAACTTCTTTCAAGTTAGAAGAAACACATATACAGAAGGGAGAGCATGGGATTGCAGACCCTCATCATTGCATAGGATCAGATAACTGGAAAGTAGTGCCCTCTGCTGGCTAAACTCACACATGTTTAGTTCTTTTACCATATTGGTCACCATTTTCTGTATACTCTCTGCTTCCTCAGTATGGTGTTCAGAACTTAATACACTGGTGGTTGTCCTTTGTTCTTGAAGAAGACCAAAATGTCCTTTGACTGGCTGCTTGAACCTAGCACAATGAATAAGGAAATTACATACATCAGACCATCATTTCAAGGAACCTACTCTTCTACTTTAACTATAGATAGCCTGTTCGTGTCCTTTGACCATTTATCAGTTGGGGAATAACTCAAATTCTTATAAATTTGACTCTGTTCTCTATATATTTGAGAAATGAGGCCTTTATCAGAGAAACTTGCTGTAAAAATTGTTCTCCAAAATTATTGGATCAGTTCACAACTTCAACAATACATTAGTGTCCCAATTTTTCTACTTCCCCTCCAACATTTGTCATTTTGTTTTTCTTCATATTAGCCAGTCTGATGGGTGTGAGGTGGTATCTCAGAGTTGTAATTTGCATTTTTCTAATCAATATTGATTTGAAGCATTTTTTTTCAAATAGTGTATTTTTCCCCAAAAGCTTGGATCTTTGCATTTATCAGACACTAGATTACTGTTGTCATTTACTACTGAGTATCATCTATCCCACTGAACCATCATTTTATTTCTTAGCCAGCACTAAATTATTTTGATGATTACTGCTTTATAGTTAGAGGTCTGATACTGCTAGTCCACCTTCATTTTTTTTTCTTTAATTCCTTCAATATTCTTAGCATTCTTCTAGATGAATTTTCCTATTATTTTGTCTAGCTCTATAAAGTAATTTTCGGTAATTTCATTGGTTTGGCACTGAATAAATTAATTTGGGTAGAATTGTCATTTTTATCATATTGTCTCGGCCTACCCGTGAGCAATTAATATTTCTCCAATCACTTAGATTTAACTTTATTTGTGTGAAAAGTGTTTTGTAGTTGTGTTCATATAGTTCCTCAGTTTATCTTGGCAGGTAAACTCCAAAGTATCTTATATTGTCTGAATTTATTTTAAATGAAATTTCTCTTTCTATCTCTTCCTGCTGGACTTTATCATATATAATAATGCTGATGATTTATATGGGTTTATTTTCTATCCTGAAACTTCGCTGGAATTGTTAATTATTTCAACTTGTTTTTAGAATCTCTAGGATTCTCTAAGTATACCATCATATTGCCTGCAAAGAGTGATAGTTTTTTTTATTGTCTATTCTACTGCCTTTTATTTTTTCATCTCTTATTGCTATAGCTAATGTTTCCAGCACAATACTGAATAATGGAGGTGATGTTATTGGGAAGGCTTCTAGCTTATCCCCATTACAGATAGTGTTTGCTGATGGTTTTAGAGAGATACTACTTATTTTAAGGAGAGTCCATTTATTCCTATGCTTTCTAGTGCTTTTTTAAATAATTTTTTTTAATTTTGGCAAAAGCTTTTTTTGCATCTAATGAGATAATCATATGACTTTTGTTAGCTTTGTTATTGATGAGGTCAATTATGCTGATAGTTTTCCTAATATTGAACCAGCCCTGTATTCCTGCTATAAATCTCACCTGGTCATAGTGTATGATCCTTATGATGTAATTGTGTAATCTCTGTTAGTATTTTATTTAAATTTTTGCATCAATATTCATTAGTGAAATTGGTCTATAGTTTTTTTTTTCTGTTTTTGCTTTTCCTGACAGGTACCAGCAACATATTTTTGTTGTAGAAGAATAAATGAATTCACAGGCAGGTGAACAAAAGATAGCCAGTCTCATAACCCTTCAAAAGTTTGCTGTTAAACCAAATGAATCTCTCATTAAATAATTTCGGGCAGGGTAGGGGAAGATATTTGGGAAATATAAAGGAGGCGCTAGGGATATTCTCAAAGGCAAAGACTGGACTGAGATGCTTAGTTTCTTCTGACAGAAAGTTGGTGGGAGAGGAAAGAGAAAGAAGAGCATATGAGCAACTACAAAGAAAGAGTTAAAAAGCTGTTTGAACTTGGAAGCATCAATGGAATGGGTATATCCCCCAAAGTGAGCTTTTTGAAAGGGACAAGCCTCCTTTAGACAACAAAGAAGCAAATTTTCAATCTCATGCTGGATGCCCATGATCCTATCATTACCATTCTCCTCCTACTCCCACCCCCAATCAGTTTGCTATGGGCTCAGAGAATATACTTATGTTAATATTTGCCTCAGCAAAACATAATTAGGAAAGTAAATCTAATGGAGAGGAGATGAATCGTATAATGAATTCTAAGTCAAATAGAAATGGTTTTGAATTGTCTATGTCATTTCCCTCCTCCATTAGAGTAGATAATTGAGATTGTTATGTGTAGATTGGAAAATGTATCCCTGACCTGTGGTCCTTTCAAAGTGATATACTAGGTTTTTCTCTCTTCATCCTTCCCACAGAACCATTCCTTGCCTTCAAAGTGATTCAGAGACTGCCACCAGGGTACTATAAGACTCCAAGGCACCAAGCCAGTCCAGAATAATGCAGAATAAAAGTAGGCAGGGAGGGAGTTTGAGAAGTCCAAGATGAAGAGAAGGTAATTCATGGACAGCAAAAAGTTACAGGACTAAAGTCAAAGAAAAGGGGGCTGGCCAGTTAAGAATGGTAATGATTGTGCAGGGAACTGAGAGGTCAAAAATCATAATCTAGAACTAGAAATGATGTTAGAGTTTAACATATTAAAACCTACCTACCCAATGTCTTAGAAATCAAAAAACATAAATTACTTAGGAATAAATTCTCTATCTGAAAAGAACTGCTAGAAAAATTCAAAGGCCATCTGGAAGCAATTAGGCTTAGAACAACATCTTATCCCATATTCTGCAATAAATTCAAAATGGAGATACAATCTGAATATTAAAGATCATACCATAAAAAAATTAAAAGAGAAGTAGATTGTATACCTTCCACAACTATGAGTAGGAAATTGATTCTTAACCAAGCAAGGAAGAAGGAAATTACAAGGAATAAAATAGATAATTTTGATTGCATTATGGTGAAAATATTTTGCATGACCAAAGTTAACAGATTGATGATGAGGAGTACAGTCAACTGAGAAAAATTTTTGTATCTAATACAAGTGTTAATAAGTGTTTGGTACCCAATATTTAGACAACTAACAGAAATATGTATGTGTGTGTGTGTGTGTGTGTGTGTGTATATATATATATATATATATATATACACACACACATACATATATATATATACACACATATATTTATATACATATGTATATCTATATACGCACGTGTGTGTGTGTGTGTGTGTGTGTGTGTGTGTGTGTATACATGACCTGACTGAAAACCATTCTCTAACAGGTAAGTGGTCAGAGGATATGAGCAAACAGATCTCAAAAGGAGAATATCAAACTACTAACAATCACATGAATGAATGAATGCTCCAAATCACAAACAATAAAGGGAAATTTAAATCAAAACAACTTAGAGGTTTTACCTCATACCCAGCAAATTGTCAAAATTGACAAAGGGTGGGAACAATAACTGTTGGAGGGGCTGTGAAAAGACAGGTACACCAATGTATTGCTGATGTTGCTATGAGCGTGTAGTACCATTCTGGAAAGCAAATTGGAATTAAATAAAGTAGCTAAAATGTCCATAAACTTCCGTGTGTATACACACACACACGTACATATACATATATATAGATAGATGTGTGTATATATAAACATATATATATGTACCATAATATAATAATACACTTGTACCAAGACTTTCAGGACACGGTATGTATATGTGTGGACACACACAAACATATATATTATACATATATATCCATGTACACACAGACATACACACCCTTGGGGGGATATATGCTGCCTAGCAGTAAGCTCTCTGGATCAATGGGTATAGACATTTTAATTATTTTTTAAAGTAGAATTTCAAATTGCCTTCAGAATGGTTGCATGTATTCATAGCTCCACCAATAAATAGTATATTATTGGGTCTAAATTCCCTCAGCCCTTGAAACATTAACAATTTATATCTTTTACCACACACACACACACACACACACACACACACACACGTTCTACCACCACTTTCCTCAAGCTGCTTCTCTAATCATTCCCATTGCTCCTATATATTCACCTAGGACTAATGCAGTAGTAAGCATTAAGAATCATTTTTATGACTTCAGTCTTTATTTCATGAGTGTTCCAGTGAGCAGCCTGCTTGTTTTCTTCCCTTATGACTGAGTTGCTATTTCACCAAGACCCACTCCCTCAGTAATATTTTATGTCACCAATTTGGTCCTGTATTTTAATGGATCCACTTATCAAGTGCTTATCTCACATGTAATCCCATGATCAAAACCACGTCATAATAAAGTCATATAGTTTCAATGAGTTCTACTCTAACTAGTAATATTCACGGTTTGCATAATTGCAGGACATGTGAAATTATCTACATACATTATGTGACTGATTCGCTGTCTTCATCATTACATCCACATGAGGCTTCCAGACCTGAATTTCAGTCAGCTAGGACATCCCACCTCATCATCTTAACATCTTACAGGTCATACAAATCGTCAGCGGGTCAAACTATTAAGAGCAACGAACAAAACAACAGCATCATGAGAGGCACCATTACAGAGGAGATAGAAAGACTTGAATAAATCTAAACAATTAAAACAAGAAGAATCTGCTCCTTCCTTCTCATGAGTCTGTATGGACAAGGTTCCAAAGGATCTAGATATTTACAATCTATATTCAGGTTTCTAGAAGATAAATTAAAAATCCATATCTAAGCCACAACAGAGATAGTTTTCTTTTTGGCACAGCAAAACCACTGTGGATGATAATCAACAGACATAGTTCAGTGCTGGTACAAATAACTTTTTCCAAACACCTAAAAAGTATTCCAATTTTACATTTTCATTACCTTCTAGATATTCCCAGTTTTTTTTATTTACCTTGTTTCTAAGAGGTGTTCTCTGCTCTTATCTTCATGTTATATAAACATTTATATATATGTGTGTGTGTATATATGTACTATAACATAAGCAAGCATATATAATATGCACACATGCATATTACATATATACATGCACATGCACACACACACATACCCTTAACACACAAATGACATTGTATAGTCACTCTCTCCTTATCTTTGATCCTTTGATTTAAGGCTGCTCACCATATACACTCAGTCAGCAGGAGGTTCTCCTAGGTCTGAATATTTATAATAAATAATTACAGTAAATGATTACATAACATAAATTATTATGTAACTTAAAATAAATAATCATTGAAATATTTAATTAAGAGAAGGAATAAAGTAATATCTGGCATTTACATAGAAATTCAAGATTTACAAAGCTCTTTAAATACATCATGTCATTCAGGTCCCATGGCAAATCTGTAAGGCAAATAATGCAGCAGACCACAACTGAGATCCTGAAAGGCTAAGTATTCTAACCAACAACCAGCAAATCTCAGAGACAAGGTCTGAGCCCAGGTTTCTTCTGAGTCAAGTACAATGTTCCTTCCACTACCTCATTAATTTCCTCTCTAAATTCTGCTAGTAATTCCTGATTTTTATTTCTTCACTGAGTACCAAAGTTAATGTAGCAAGGAACTCATTCAATCAAATGAACTAGGCTAAAGTTCATGACAGGAAGGCAAAAAAAAAAGGGGGGGGGAGACGGAATAAAATACTAGGGGGAAAAGTAGAGGCTCTAATGAGCAGTGAAAGATCTTCTGGAAAAAAAATGAAAACTGTTCCTTTCCCAAGGTCCTTCTGGACTGTCCTTTGTTCCCAGTTAAGGGAGGAGATATGGAGAGAGAGAGAGAGAAACTCTCTAATCCTCTTAGCCTTGGGAAAAAAGAAAGAGGCAAAAAGCACACATTTTCATACATGACCAATGTGTTTACTTGTTTTGATTGACTATTCTTACTTGTTACAAGAGAGGTTCTATATTAAGGCAACTCAACAGGGTTGTAACTGCTGTCCACCACAGTGCCCACAACTACATAGCACATATGCATGCTTTTGCCCTCCAAGCTTCTTTCTAAGTCAGAGAGAGAGAGAGAATAAAACAACATAAAATCTCTCTTTCCAAGACAGGAGACGAGATAACTGGCTTAAGGGTATGAACAAACTGTTGCGAAGAATCGCAAACTATTAACACCCACATGGAAACCATATGAACCATACCAACAACTGCCTCCAAATCACTAAAAATAGAAATGTAAAAAAAAAAAGCTCTGAGATTTTACCTCAAATTCAACAAATTGGCAAAGATGACAAATACATATGTATGCATATATATATATATATATATATATATATATATATATATATATATATATATATATATATTTTTCAATGTTTGATGTACTGAGGGAATGCAGATATATCAGTGCATTACTGGTGAAGCTATGAATATGTCCAACCATTCTAAAAGTCATTTTGAATTTTACTTTTTAAAAAGAGTGACTAACAAGAGGACCTGAGTTCAAATACATTCTTAGACCATATACTTGACACTTATTAGCTGTGTGACCCTGGGCAAGTCACTTAACCCCAATTGCCTTGACCCCAAAAAAATAAAATAAAGTAAAAGAGTGACTAAATAGTCATACTCTTTGATCCAGAGATCCCACTGCTAAGCATGTATCCCAAGGAGGTCAACAATAGGAATAAAACTCCTATGTACACCAAGATCTTCATAGCAGCACTTTTTGTGTTGGAAAGAATTAGAAACAAAATGGATAGCCATCAATTGGGAGCTAGCGAGTCAAATTGTGGTATATAATTAATGGAATATAACTGTACTGTAAGACATGATGAAAATAAATTCAAGGAAAAAGCAAATGACATGAATTGATGCAGAGTAAATGAAGCAGAACCAGGAAAACAATATATACAATGACTAAAATAATATAAATAGAAAGAACAATAAAACAAAGTTAAATGATGTATAGTTCTAATGACTAACCTTGTTTCTGAAGAAGAGATGAAAAAATGCACCTCCTTCATTAGAGAAGTGGGGGGCTGTGGGTGTCAACTGTTGAGTATGCTATCAGGCAAAGTCACTGTGTTCATTGGTAATTACTGAAATGTTTTTTTCTTTTTCTTTTTAATCTTTGTCACAAGGGATAACTCCCTTGGTGAGGGAAAAAGAATGTTATAGTCAGTGAGAAATGCAATGCAAAAACAAAAGTCACAAATTTTAAAAATCATGCATTTTAACTTTTTTAAAGAATCACTTGGGGGAAATGTTAAAAAAACACTTTTTTTAAACACAAAAATTAGGAAGTTAGGATAGCCCACTCTCATTTCCTCTTTGCCATTTCTACAATAGACTGGCAAAGAAAGTCCATTAAAGTTTAAACCAATAAAAAGTGACTCAGTACAGCTCATAGCTGATGGCAACAGTATGGGTAATGGGACTTCCTGAAGAAGTAGTTCCTCCTCACTAATGGTATTACTGGGATCCCACTACTGAGATGTTGATTTTCTAATGAAGAGGTTGGCAAATACATACAAACACATGCAACATTTGACTTACAGGCCATGTAGTCAAATAGATATTAGCCTCTGAAGTTCCTTTCAATTCTCAAATTCTTTCATTCAGTGATAGTCTGTATCATATAGTGTTTGTCCAAGACAAGGACCCATAAGAGAAACTATTCAGGCTTTTATAACTATTTCTAACCCCACAATGAGCCTTGTGTATTTGTGTGCATTTATATACGTGTACATACAGTACAGAAGCACTCTTTGTATTGTCAAAAATAGAAACACATTTTATCCATCTATTGCAAAATATAATAGAATATTGGAGACAGCTAGATTGCTGAGAGCACTGGAAAATCCAGCCTTGGACATTTACTAGCTGTGTGACCCTGGGCAAGTCACTTAACTTCTATCCCCTGGAGAAGGAAATGGCAAACCACTCTAGTACCTTCGCCAAGAAAACCCCATGGACAGTGTGGTCCACCAGGTCATACAGAATCAGACATGACTCAACAGCCGCAGCAAGATGGAATATTATTGCACTGTAAGAAATGACAAACATGAAGAATTAGAAAACACTTGTGAAGATTTACATGAACTTAAATTACATAAAAGTAAGCAGAACCAAGAGGACAGTTTACATAATAAATACAGTAATGTGCAGGAAAACCGCACTGAAAAACATCAAAATCTGATCAATAACTGATGGAACAGGACTTCTGAGAACTGACAATGGAGCATGTCTCTTTCCTTTCTGCAAAGAGACAGTGCAAGATGGGTGCAGAAGGAGACATGCTGTTTCAGACATGGCCAGTGTGGTGTTTCACTTTCCTGTCCTTTGTTACAAAGACCCGGAAGATTATACTGAGGGGCTGGAGGAAATTATCAAGTGGCAATGATATAAACAGAAACAACAAGACATTCACCTAAAAAATCAAAACTGGCTTAGTTGAAGGAATCACAGATACTCAGAAGACTCTTGGGGCGTGGGTCCCAGTTTTGTCTACTTGTCTTCTGCAAAGGAATTTGTCCTCTTCTACTTAACCCCAAAGGGCAGAAATAGAAACAGTGGATGGAAGTTCCACAGAGGTAGACTTAAATTCAACGTAAGGAAAAACTCCTCAGCACTTAGAACTAACCCATAGTGTAACATGCTACTTCAAGAAGTAATGAGTTTCTGAGCGCAAAGGGATATAAAACTGTGCATACCCTTTGACCCAGCAATATCACCTCTAGGTCTGTATCCCAAAGAGACCATAAAAATGGTAAAAAGAAAAAAAAATTAAAACAAAAAAATAAATGGGAAAAGGACCCACATGTACAAAAATATTTGTAGCAGCTCTTTTTGTGGTGGCTAAGAATTGGAAATTGAGGGGATGTCCATCAATTGGGGAATGGTTGAACAAGGTGTGGTATATGAATATAATGGAATACTGTTGTGCTATAAGAAATGATGAGCAGGAAGATTTCTGAAAAGCCTGGAAAGACTTACATGAACTGATGCTGAGTAAAATGAGCAGAACCAGAAGAACATTGTACACAGTAACAGCCACATTGTGCAATGACTGACTTTAATAGACTTAGCTCTTCTCAGCAATGCAAGGATCTCAGATAACTCCAAAAAGACTCGCAACGGAAAATGCTGTCCCCACATCCAGAGAAAGAACTTTGGAGTCTGAATACAGATTGAAGCATACTATTTACTCTCCTTTTCTTTTGTTGTTTTGTTTTATTTCTTCTTTCTTGTGGTTCCTCCCATTAGTTCTAATTCTTCTTTACATCATGACTAATGCAAAAATGTGCTTAATATGAATGTGTAAGTAGAGCCTATATCAGATTGCATGCTGTCTTGGGGAGGCGGGAGGAGGGGGAAGGAGAGAAAAATTTAAAATTCAGAATCTTATGGAAGTGAATGTTGAAAAGTAAAAATTAATTACTAAGAAGTAATAAGTTTCCTTCATTATAGGTCTTCAAGCAGAAACTGGATAGCTATTTCTCAGAGATATGGTTAAAGGGACTCTTGGTGAGGCAAGGGTTGGGCTATTTTTGAGCCTTCAACTCTCAATTTCTCTGATTTGATAGTACATAAGTATTACAGAGTTTATACCTAAGAAAAGGATCCATAGAGAAATGATTTAGGTATTCATACCTATTCCTTACCCCATAATGACTCTGAGTAGCAGTTATATAGCAAGGCTTTGAACTTACTCTTCCAATTCCACTTCCAGGGGCAGGTAGGATTCCCAGAGCTCAGCTATTGTTACATCTCTGCTCAGGGTTCTATGGGTACCCTGAGGGGCTGTTGCTATTGCTTCCAGCTGCAATCCAGTATTTTCCTCCTAATATCAATAGACCAGTGACTTCTCTACTATCATCTCACTGGTTATTATTAGCTCCCCAATATAATTTTGACCGGTTACTATCTTCCCAATATTTTCAATAAGCAAATAATATCAATTAGGTTTTACAAAGGAATATTTACTGAGAGGTATAGTGAGAACAAACTAAATTCCCCTAAATAGGCAAAGTCTTCCCTCTACCATTTCAGTCTCTGGGGAGAATAGACTCAGACTTTAAATGGTCACCACAAACATTCCTCTTGCCAATTCACTTCCAAATACAGTATAGATGATGGATGAGTTGCTTACAGGACAATTAGAATCTCCAAGATATATTAAAAATTGAAACAAAAATACATAAATAAGAGCCATTCCTCAAAAAATAAGTGGTCAAATAATATGACTAGGCAATTCTCAAATGAAGAAACACATGCTATCAACAACCACATTAAGGAAAAAATTGCCCAAATCAATAATAATTAGAGAAATATAATGGTTGATTCTGGGCAGCAAGGTGGAAGAATGGATAGAGTGCCAGGCCAGGAGTCAGGAAGACTCCCTTCCTGAGTTCAAATCTAGCTCTATGCCCCTGGGCAAGTCACTTAACCCTGTTTGCCTCAGTTTCCTCATCTAGAACATGAGCTGGAGAAGGAAATGGCGAACCGCTCTAGTATCTCTGCCAAGAAAACCCCAAATGGTGTCACAAAGAATCAGACACAACCTAAAAACAATTGAACAACAAAACAACAATAAAATGTTTATTACTGAGATGAGTCAAGCCAGTCAGTCCTCTGGACCAGCTCTTCACAGGGTTAAGCTGCCAGAAAATCCATTTCTGGGCCTCTTATTCCAGGTAGTTCTTCCAACTAGTTTGAGTTACAACTAGAGAGTTTTCAAACTCACCAAGTTGTAGCCTAATATATTCTGCTTCGTTCACTCATTCACCTAAGAGTAGTAGAAAAGAATGAATAACGACAGAGACAGAAGAAACAAAAATACAATGTATTCAAGGCCACATAATGGCCCCAGGTGGAGAAATAGGGACCAAAGCACCTGGCTAAAATCCTACCTTCTACAAGAAGCTTTTTTCAGTCCCTCCAAATGTCAGTGCCTTCCCTCTGTTGATTATCTCTAGTTTATCCTTTATCTTGTTTTTACATAGTTGTTTTCATGTTTTCTCCCCCATTATCCTATGAGCTCCTTAAGAGCAAATATGGTCTTTTGCTTGTCTTGGGCTCTGAGTACAGTGCCTGACACATAGTAGTCATTTAATAAATGCTTTTCAATTTACTGTTAATAGGAAAACAGGAAGCAGCTCAGGGAAATGTGCAAGATAAGTTACAAGCAGCCAAAGAGGCTGTAAGAAAGAAGCTGATAACTACAGATCTCCCAGGGAAGCCTTTGCAAGTAGTGTTGAGTACATAGGACCTCCATATGAACAGATCCTTAGAGAAGTTAACATCATCACATCTTCCAAATATTAAAATCTGTACCCTGCTTACTACAATTTGCCTCATTGACTTGTATTCACAATTAATTAGGAAGAAAAATATCATAGCTAATTTCATTAATACGGTTATCATATCCAAGGTATATTAAAATTAATACAAAAATATAAGAATTAGAGCCATTCTCCAATAGATAATTGGTCAAATGAAATGAATAGGTAGTTCTCAAATGAACAAACTCAAGCTATCAATAACCATGTGGGAAAAATGCTCCAAATCAATAAGAATTAGAGATAGGTAAATTAAAACAGCTCCGGAGTTCGACTTCACATTCATCAGGCTGGCAAAGATGACTCAAATGGTCATCTGTAAAAATGAACGGAGAAGGAAATGACAAATTATTCTAGTATCTTTGCCAAGAAATGGGATCACAAAGAGTCAGTCAGACACAACTGAAACAACCTAACAATACCACCAACAAATCTAAGATCTCATCAGTTTGGAAGCTCCCTCGAATAATGCAGATTTGCAACCTATCTATGCCTACTTATCCTGTGCAAATCCCATCCATTATCTCCCTGTATATGGCCACAGTGAGTCCACCTATCATTTTCAGTGTCTCTCTTACTTTCTCCTAAATTGAGAGGTTTTCAATAGGACACTCTGGTTATCCATCTGTCACCTCTCATTTTTGTCATGGTAGCAGCCTGTCTTCTCTTTCTATCACATAATTCCTTAATGACATTGTTTATTGCTTTTCTTCAGAGTTCCTCATATATATATATATGGTGGGCCACCATATGCCTCTTCATTTCTCTCTGTGTGATATTCGTTTTATAGTCCTTTAAAGATAATTATATGCCATGTCTCACAGCAATATGGCAAAACTTGAAGAATATTAGTATTAAAAAGATGATCTTTTGCGTTCATAGGAAGATTGGACATAGTGAAGGAACTTTGCAACTTCCCAAAGAAAATTCAACCCACACTTCTCCTTGTGTTCAACTTTGGGCACAATTCTTTGTCCATTTGTACTATCTGTCTGTCCCTGATGTAAATCCTAACAGACAGCTCTATAGTATGTCCATCCAAATGTATGTTGAAATCCAGGCAGTAAAATTTCCCTTCCACTTAGTCTTTTCTGTGTGGATGAACAGGCCAAACTCATTTATTTGATTATAGATCTCTTCCAAGAGACTCTGAAATGTTCTGGGACTTTATGCAGTCAGTATAGGTCCATGGCCTCAAACCAACCCAGTGGACTGAAAGCCTGAGAGCATCAGGCTGAGTATGAGACAGCCTCGTAACTGTCTGCCCAAAAAGCACCTCCAAGCCTTGGTGCTTGGAGAGCAACCCCAACTGCAGAGCAAAAAAGGGGGTGGGGAGGCTTTACATACCTTCCAGTCTTGGCTAGAGAAGAACTTGGGGGTTAGGCAGTTTCCCCATACAAGCCACCAAAATGATGAAGTTTGGGGGTTTAGAGGTGCTAGGACCCCAAAATCACAACACACAGTCCTGTCTGAAAGAATTTGACTCAAGCCTTCTTTCAGCCAAAGGCAATGTTTATTACAACATCGTCATATTGGGTGGACTCTTAAGGAGTCTGAATGTGAGTGAGCAGTAGCTAGATTATAAGAATCTGAGCGGTGGCTAGATTTTAAAATCTAAGCAATGGCTAGATTATAAGAATCTAAGCCCTTTCTGGCACTTTTTCAAGCCCATTTCTCACTTTCAAACACAATAACCCTCCCACCCTCTGAAAACATCCCCAAGAAAGCGTGAGAGACCTGATAAAAACTACATCATGTGTCTCCTGCTCTCCCTTCCCACATTCTCATCCATATCTCTATCTCATATGTGCCCAGGTAAAGACAGATCAGCAGAAAAGCTATGTGGTCTAGTAAATAGAAAGATGCTTTAAAGTCGTAAGACATAGTTTCAAGTCTTATCTTTGACATATACAAGCTATGTGACCCCAAGAAATGTTCTTAGACTTCTGCTGATTTGAATTGGTAGAAGGAGTCTCTCCATTGAGAGTTCTCTATACCAATGAAATCATAGGACAAGTCAAAAAAAAATCCTGGTTATCAAGAAAGAAAGAATTCATAAAAGGGGCCCATGAGTCCTAGGAGTCTTTCAACAAAAGTTATTACCTTGGAAGGAAGGAAACAAGCATTTATTAAGTAAGATCTGTGTGTCACAAAAATTCTCTCACTTTAGCCTCACAACAACCCTGAGTAATAGAGGGTATTATTATCCCATTTTATAGTTGAGAAAACTGAGTCAGACAGCAGTTAAGTAACTTGCCCAGGAACACACAAAAAGTAAGTGTCTGAGGCTAGGCTCAGGTCTTCCAGATGCAGCACTCTATCCACTATGCCACCTTGGGCTGATCATATAAATGAAATCTCATATCCTTAATCACCAGCTTATGGATCCACCTCTTTCTTCCCAAAACTGACCCGAAGCCTGGAAGCCAGCACAATCCTGAATTAATGATAACTTTTCTTCATTCTTCACCTCATATATGCACCACAATAATAAAAGATCTTTCCTTTCTCAGATCTCACATAAAACATCACACCACTCCCATATCTCTAAAAGTTTTTAGTCTTCCTTTTTTTATTGCATTGTTCCTGCCTATTTATAGATAGGTCATAGTCCCCTTACTAGTTTGTTCTAGTTCTCTACAATCAAAAAATGTTTTAATCCTTTGTATCTGCAAGGACCTAGTATAGCCCTTTGTACTAGCAGGTGTGTAATAAATGGTAGTTGGATGAATGATCTCTCCATTTCCATGTCTCCCTCTCTCTGTTCTGTCTCTCCAGATTCCTTCCCCTGTACAAGGTTCAGGGGTCAAGGGTCAGATCAGAAGAGGGTTCCATGGCAGTTGGGAATTTCACTCTAGTCGGGGCCAAGAATGGGACTGGCAAGGATGGGGGTAGTCCCTCAGCTTGATCAGAGTTCCCAGATTCTACTACTGCTACTACCCCAAACCCAGAAACTTCACTTGTCTTTCAGTTGCTGATGCTAAAATTAGCTAGGTCACAGAGGGAGGGACAGTTTTAGGTGTGAGACATTAGGTTAGAGAAAAATCAAAGAATATATATTGCCTAGTTTCAGGGTTGATCTTGGCTTGGGACAGGTAGAAACTTGCTGAGGACACAAGCTCTATCTCTCCCCTTTCTTTCCACTGTCCAGTGATATACAAACTATGTCCCAATTTACTACCATGCAGTCCATGACCTATTCATCTCCTGCTTGGCCCTAGCATTGATGATACTGGGGTTAGTCCAAAAAGAATGGGTTAAGCTGGAAGGGCTGCCATCAAGGAAATCAATTTTCAGCAGCCCCTGGATACCTTGTATCAACTCAAATTGCACCATGGTTGACCTAACAGGTCAGGAATAAGCTATGGAGGGAGGAGGCAGGGAAGCAAGCCTTGGGTTTTGCCTCCTTGGCAGCTCAGCTTTCTCACACCTGGCCTCTTGCTGCTTGGCACAGATTTCTTAGTCTATAGCTTCCTTAGTTTGCACTTTTCTTACTTTCACAATCAACCAATAGTTGGGACTTTCATGAAACTTGACTTATGTTATTTCTGGAAAAGACAGAATTCAGTGGAAGCTAGAGAGTCTTAATGGATTGATGTTTGGGAGGGGTCATAGGTGTAGAGTGGTCAGGCTAGAATGGGACAAATGGAAGGAGGCAGACTGGGGACTGGAACAGAGCCAGTGATGTTAGGTCAAATCAGTGTTATAGCAGGTCAAGAAATTTTGTGCATAGTGGGTGTTATACAAGATGTGGACTCCAGGAAGAGCAAAGGAAAAGTCATGAAGTAAAGATTACAAGATAGAGAATGCTTTCCATTGGATTTTTCTTCCATTCAAATTCAAAGTCCCTGACCCTGTTTCCTCCTTCTGTCCCATTTCCTATTTCTTCTCTCCCTATTCCCATCTCCACTGAGGGCTATGTGGATCCCAGGTGGGAATAGAACTGGAAAAAAAACTTTACAATGATCCCAACTCAACCTCTGCTTCCCCACAGATGACAAGAAAACCTGGAACCTGATGGCTATAACTATCACTCTTTCCATCGTCCTGTGCTTTATGTTGTGTTTGGACTACACTTATATAATTCCTCGAATCAAAAGCCGCTACCTCTTCTTTGCCTTTATCAGCTTCCTGACAGGTACCCACCTGCTTCCCTTGCCCCAGACTGTTAATAAAACTGGTTTTGGGCTTACATTGCTGGTCCTGACTAAATCAATCCCTCTTTATCATTGGTACATAGATTTAGCTTCTGGGATGTCTATCAATTTATCTGTGATTGGATGAATCCTTGAGCAAAAGCATTCTAGGAATTGACTTTTCTTTGGTTAAGGCTTAAGTGTGGGATTCAAGTCCCCCAGGAGAGACTTTTTTTCCTCTTTTTGTCTGGACAGCAGGTATCTGTTTGTTCACAGCAATCATACTGTACTACCAAGAGCTGAGGAAAAGCTTCAACATGTACTACCATGATATCAAAGTCACCTGGATCTTTCATTCATCTTATATAATTATCTTCTTATATTTAGTCTGTGGTAAGTGTCCCCAGTGCCCTTGAGGGGAGATCAGAGCCAACTCACCTGTGGTTTAGGGGGAGGGGAGTTGGGGACATAGGAGAACCTTTCACTCCAAATTGTTGAAACTCATCTAGATTCAGTTCCAGGTGTAGCTTCCTCAGAGAGAGAGTTGGGGTCTGAGACTATGGATTATGTCAATTCCTGGTGAATAGCTCCAAAGAACATCCTTCCCTTTCTCTTCCTCTATTGCCCTTCACACCCCTTCCTTCATGGCACATATGGCCAAGAAAGACATGGCTGTGAGAAGTGTCTTTGAAGATGAAAAGAATGAAGGCATTTAGAGAACATATAGAAAGGATAAAGGTAGCATCAAGGATAGTTATCAGGACAGTGCTAAGAGGGGAGACAATGCAAGTGTATAGTATATCACTCTCTCTTATGAGGGTCCCTTTTTTCCTAGGAGTCTCTCCTCTGAAAGTAAACATCCTAAATGCAAAAGAGATATTTCCAATTTCAAAATGGACCTGACCTTAGATATATTGGTCTAATTTAAAATGTGTCACACTCTCCAGGGTCCCGCCTCCTCTTCACTGCTATTATTGATGTCCTGGAATTTACCACCCAAAGGGGCTTAGGATATTTAAGACCAAGGGCTCTATCAACATTGTATAACCTTTGATACTAGGATGGGAAGCAGACTGTGCTAGGGTAAAGAATTTGAACTATGGAGTTAGAGAACCTAGATTCAAATCTTTCTTCTGAGGCTTACTACTTAAGTTCTATAACTTTTGCCAAGTTCCTTAACCTCTCTAGGCCTCATTATACTTCAGGAAAATAAAATCTGTAAAATTATTGCATTGGATTAGATGACCTCTGAGTTCCTGTCCATCTCTAGAGTCATGTTTTCCAACTATTTCATCCTTGCGGCTTCCCAGAACACTATCCTGCTGCTAGGAAAGACTCAACTCCTGTTTCCATGCTTTTGTTATCATTACCTGCTTTTCCCTACAATCCTCTGACCATTTTTCCCTAGGGATCCTCTGTCTTTTGAGCCACAGAGAGTGCAACAAGAGCTCCCTTGACCTTCTAGAAGAGTCTCCCACACAATCTCCATTGAGACAGCCTGAGAGTATCCAAATGAAAACTGATGATAAAGAAATGAAGGGAAATTTTTCTGACAAAGTCCATATTGAAAACTTGAGCAATACAAGTCTGAGTCCTCCAAGAAAATCACAAGCCCTCCATGTGACCTGGGCCGTGTAGATTTGGGGACAGCTATAGGAGTTCATATCTTCATGCATGCATTTATGTCTCTATTGACTCATACATGTGTAGTCAGGTGTTGTATGCATGCACCATTTATTATACGTGCATATCATATATGTCTGACTTGAAGGACTATTTATAGGAGTGCCAGATGATAGTAGCAAATACCCCTCTGCTTGGTAAAGGAGATTTTCCTCCAGACAATATGTTTGCAATTTCATTAAAAGAAATCAACACATTTCAGTGGCCTGTAGTTTGTCCTTAGAAGAGATTTGAGAGCTATAAAAACCTTACAGCCTTGCTCATGAATTCAATAAACATTTATTCATCATTTGGTGATAAATGAAAGGAAGCATAACATCAAATTCTGCAACTAGAGTTATGAAGAACTATATTTCCCATCTCTGCCATATGAGTTCTTGACCATAGGCAAGTCACTTACTCTCTTAACCTCAGGCAATTTTCTATGACTAAGGGATAAGAGAGGTTGGAATCCATGTGAAGGAGAGAGTTCATACATCAACAAAATCACAAGTCCTTGATCTTTTAGTGCATGTGCTTATCTTAGGAAGACAAAAATGAAAAACAGCAAAGTCCTTGTCCTCAAGTAGCTTACAGTATAGTAGAAAGGGAAGAGAAATGAACAAAATAACTATAGGGTTAGAACATGGACAAATGTATAAAGAGGCCAAATAGACTACTGAGAGATCAAAAGGAGTGATCATTTAGTTAAGAAGATAAGAGAAGATATCACAAGATAAGAGAAGAGAGGGTAACACCTGAGCTAATTCTTAGAGGAAGAGAATTTGGACAAAAAGTAGAGGTGACTGATTTCACCATTTGAGGTTCATCATGGCTTTTTGGGAGTAAGTGTGTAATTCACAGTATTCCTAACCAATTTCTACCCAATCCAATCTCTGTTGCTAGATTACATCACCTACACACACAAACCCAATAGTAAAAAATATTTCAATGAATCAAGTGAAGAAAACAAATATTTGTTAACTGTCTATTATGTGTCAGGCACTGTTCTAAGCAGCAGGAATGTGAAGAAAGGCAAAAAAAAAATCCATACTCTCAAGGAGCAATCTAATAGGGGAGGCAACATACAAATAACCCTGTACAAACAATATATAGACAGGATAAATTAGAGATAATTTCAAAGGGAAGACACTAAAGAGGACCTAGAAAGGCTTCTGGCAGAAGGTGGGATTTTATCTGGGATTAAAAGGAAGCTAAGGGGTAGGATTAAGAAGGACAGAGTTCCAAGTAAGTGATAACAACCAATGAAAATGCACAGGATCAGGAGATGGAATGCCTTGTTCAAGGAACAACATGAAGATCTATGTCATTGGATCACAGAATATGTAGAAGGGAGTAAGGTGTAAGAGGGCTAAAAAGGTAGGAAGGGTCCAGTTTACAAAGGACCCTAAAAGCCAAAAAGCCCTAGAAATTTATTTGAGCTTTTGATGTAACAACCCAAAGTAACAGTTCTTGGACAGATAGACTGTCTTCTCTTTATCTTCCTCTGACATGAGTCCCTGACCCAGACCCAATACTGACGACCATTAGCATCGTAACAGACAATCAAGAGCATTTTGAACTCATGGAATTATGTGCTGATCCCACCTAGTTGTCAGATTTAAAATCCAATAGTGCATACATATCTCAATCTTCCTAACCTGTTGCATACCATCTACTGTGAGCCAGTCAAATAATACCATTGACTAACAATTGTTCCAGGTGATTTCTGGGGCATCAAATGAACATGCTCAAACCATTTGGAAAGCATTGAATTTGTTTGTGTGTGTTACTTAGGCACCCTCCTTCTCTAGTCATATAGGGAGAATATATCTTTTTCCTTTGGTGACCCTTCCATTACTCTGTCATTGTAGAGTCACAAAAGGAATTCTTCTCTAGAACCGCGCTTACGAAGAACCTCAGAGTGCCTGTTTGATGCTCTCTGCCACCACTGGCCTGTATTGGCCTCTCAGCTTGTTCTCAAGAAGCATGGAGTGTCAGGGTGTTCCGGTGTTGAGCTTCAGCTTCGAGTTTAAAAGATCCTGCCAATATTTTAAATGTGACAAAATTGGTCCCGGTGAACAATGACACTCCAGAAACACTTGATGGGTCTGGAAAAACTAGGGATATTATGTTTACTTTCTGACACCAACAACTTCCCTAGGGAGCTCTAATTTAACCACATATAACTTAAATATGAGTAATCCTCATTCAATCCATACAGTCTTTGCCCAGGCACAGAGAATGAAGTTACAGTCTAATGGAGGAGACTGCAAATGTCCTGCAAATAAATAGGACATAAGCTGTCAAGACCTACTATCTAGCAAGACAAGATATTCTATATCTCCAGTCAGTTCTGTGTAGTCCTGTAAGGTATGAACTTGGGCAAGTTTATAGGACAGAGATTCGTTCCTTTGGAGCCTGAGGTGACACCAATTTTATGCCCTACATTTTAGGGTATAAAAAAGTATTTGGAGTGAATGAGCAGTCTCTTTGGTCAATTCTTAGCATTTGTTAGCAAATTCTCTCAAAACAGATAGTTATATTAAACATTTCCTATGAAATTTTAAAATATGAAAGCAAAACTCAATGTACAGCTCATATGTTGCAGTGGGTTTTACTAAGAGATATTACAGCAGGTCAGATCTCAGATGAATAACAAGTACATGGATTGCATCTTCAAGGATTTTGGTGTCAAGGGCACCCTCCAATGTATCTAGGTGAAAAGAATACTCTTCTGCAGCAGTGGAGCTCCTGCTTCTATCCTGGCCACCAATACACCTGCTGCATGAGTATTAGAGGACAGATTTTCACCAGCAAGGTGATATGAGACTGGATTCTTCCTGTTTATGTAAGAGAAAAGGCTCCACTTTTACTCTCATATCTTATCAGTTGTGTTGCTTTTCAATCAGCCATGAAGGTTTAGAAGTGCTAATTAGCTAAGGTGGAACTCATGAACAGACTTTTCTAAATTCATGACTAATCTTTTGAGGAGGCATTAAGGAATTTCCAAGATCAAAGATGCATGTAAATATTATTTGGGAGAAGTCAATGATCCACAGATTCTTATAATTAATCAAAGAATGATATATATTCATTGATCATATATGACAGTTATTATCTCGAGGTAGACATCAAACTCAGTTTAGGTATTAATAATTATTCTAAAAATGACCTTCGAAGAAACTACTGTTAACTTAGACTTTGTAATCTCTGGAAGGAGAGAAGAAGTAAAAGTGAAAAAGTCCACTGAAGCTGCTTATAAAAGTTATTTTTTTAAAAATTTCAGCTAAAAAATTATAAAGATAATCAATAAAATAAACCATTAGTTAATCTGATTTTTTTAAAAGAAAACTGAATTAGCAGTATCAAAAATGAAAAGGGTAAATGCACCACCAATGAAGATAAAGTAATTATTAAGAGCTGTTTTGCCTAATTTTATGCCAATAAAACTGACAATCTAAGTGAAATGGATAAATATTTTTGTAGTTTTGTTGTTTAGTTGATTAGTCTTTTCTGACTCTTCATGACCCTGTTTGGGGTTTTCTTATGAAAGATACTAGAGTGGTTTGCCATTTCCTTCTCCAGCTCATTTTCCTGATGAGGAAACTGTAGCAAACAGGGATAAGTGACTTGCCCAGGGTTACATAGCTAGTAAGTGGCTGGCATCAGATTTGAATTCGGGTCCTCCTGACTCCAGGCCCAGCACTCTATCCACTGGGCCACCTCGCTGGATGAATACTTGCAAAAATACAAATTGCCCAGATTAACGAAAGAGGAAATAGAATACTTTGAAAAAAAACCTATCTTAGAAAAATAAATTGAATAAACCAAAAATTAATTCCCTAAGAAAAAAAAATGCCCAGAACCAAATGGATTTATAAGTGAATTATAACAATTAAAGAACAATTAATTCCAAAACTATATATTTTTTCTATCTGCATTCAGATTCCATAGGTCTTTCTCATGATGTGGATAGTATTTTCCATCGAGAGTCTTTTGCAATTGTCTGAGATCATGGTATTGCAGAGAAAAGCTAAGTCTTTCAAAGTTGGGCGTAGCACAATGTTGCTATTACAGTGTACAATGTTTTTCTGGTTCTGCTCATTTTACTCAGCATCAGTTCACATAAGTTTTCCCATCTGAACGCAGATTGAAGCATGCCATTTTCTCTTTGTTGTTGTTGTTGTTGTTGTTGTTGTTTTCTTTCTCATGGTTTTTCCCTTTTGTTCTGATTCTTCTTTTACAACATGGCTAATGGGAGGGGGGAGATAAATAATTCTAATATCATGGAGCCACAGTTAAGATCACACAAGATTTAATGGCATTCACACTAAAGGAGTGGAATTCTTGGAATATGATGTTCCAGAAGGCAAAGGAACTAAGATTACAACCAAGAATAACCTACTCAGCAAAACCGAGTGTAATTCTTCAAAAGAAAAATTGGATATTTAATGAAATAGAAGTCTTTAAAGCATTCCTGATGAAAAGACCAGAGCTGAATAGAAAATTTAACATTCAAACACATGACTCAAGAGAAGCAGAAAAAGGTAAACATGAAAGAGTAATAATATGGGACTTAATAAACTTAAACTTTATGCATTCCTACATAGGAAGATGATACATGTAACTCCTAAGAACTTTATCAGTTAGAAAGCAGACATAGACAGAGTGCACAAATGTGAGTTGATTATGTTGGAAGGATCTCAAAAAAAATCAAGGGGTGAGAAAAGGGGATGCATCGAGAGAAGAGGGAAGGGAGACATAGAATGGGGAAATTTTCTCATATAAAAAAGGTGCACAAGTAAGAGCTTTACAATAGGGAGAAAATGTAGGAAGAATCATGGGCAATGCTTAAACATCACTCTCATCATATTTGGTTCAAAGAAGGAAGAATATACAGTCATCTTTCAACATTCATAGGGAATAGGGGAGCAGGATCCCTACAAATATGAAAAACTTGGAATAACTCTAGGCCCCACCCCAAACCTTTATGTTTAATATCTGATCATATTAATTTAATACAAAAAACAAATAAAACAGCACATTATACCCATAAAAAGCCACAATTTCTCCATGACAGAGACTGGTGTCTTGCACATTATGCAAAGTCTTCACCAACACCAATGTAGCCGCAACAACTGCTTCATGTGTTTCCTTCTACAAAAAGTGCAAGATATAATGATTACTGTGGGAGAAAATCACACA